AGCGCTAGACGTTGAGCTTGGGGGGTTCGTGGCGGAGTAGGGCTCGTAGTGACAGACGCGATCGACTCGGCGGCAGTTCATGCAGCGAGGGCGCTCGCCGGAACACCTGGTTTTGCGATGCCTGGAGCATTTTGCGTTTTGCACACGCAAAAAGTCAGTTTCACGATGCGAATATTCAGCCAGCTGTCAGCCCCCCCCCCCGTCTCCAGGCCAGAAATAATTACACCGCCACTCAGCGCAGCCCTGGAGCTCTTTGAAAGCCCCGAGGCCGCACCTGTCGTAACGGGCAGCATCTTCCCGGGCCTGAATCACAGAGCAGCGACACGAAAGAGATGAGATCTGAGGATTCTGCGCACCGACAATTCGTGCATGCCTGGCGGATGCGGCGGATGGTGTTGACTATCGGCGGCTGCCGCGAGCGGGCATCGGACCGGTCCCAAGCGGACGCATCGGCTGCTGGTTCGGACATTGTGCTACCGCATGCTTCGGAGTCGAGCGGCGAGGACATGCAGCCATCACCCGGCAGCTGGGGCGCGATGCAGGCAGGCAGTGGCAGAGGATGCAGAAGATCGGATGCTGTGTGATGCTGATGCTGCCAGAGAGGGCGCTGCTGGCGGTAGATGCAGCTGGTCGCTGCTGGTGCTGGTGCTGAATAACTGGAAGTTGAGCGGGGTACACAAGGTAATACCTAAGGTACCAGGCCCGAGGTAGCGCGCTCGCATAAAGTTTTGCTGCGAGGCCACCTGCGGTAGCGAGAGAGGTCGCTGGTACCCGCGGCGGCCGGCAGAGCGACCTGCTGGAGGGCGGGCGCTGGGGGGTGTTGAGTCGATGGGGCTCGGGCGGGCGTCGCAGCCTGTTGCGGCTTGTTGCAGCCTGTCGCACCTGTTTGCAGCCGATTTGCCGGGTGTGTGCTGCTGCTGGCCCGCGCCATGAGTCAGCGGCTGACGCAGCACGCGCTGTACCCTGGGCACTGGATGCCGGTACCCGGTACCTCTGGGGCGAGTGCATCTCGGTCTGATCTCAACCCGCTCTGCAGCACTCAGCGGTGATGATGAGCCTCGAGCATCATCTCGAGGTAGGGCTCGATGCCATGTCGCTCATTACTCCCTTCCCCCCATTCTTCTTTTTTTTTTTTTTTTTTTTT